AAAGGCTGTGTTCATTTTATTTATTTATTTTTTTTTTTTGCTAAATGTGTCTGCACATAGATGGCTCTGCTAATGCTTAGCCATAAAGGAGTCAATTAGTAGACCTTGTGACCTTATCTGATTTCCTTTAAATGGTGGGGAAAAACTATTTTTGTTTTTACTAATGCTATTCATTGCATTACTAAAAAATGTGTTTTTCCCACCAATTCAAGGAAAAGTGAAATTAAGTAAGGTCACAAGGTCTAGTAATTGACTCCTTTGTGGCTAAGCACTAGTAGAGCCATTTATGTGCAGAGACATTTCTCAAAAATATAAAAAATGAGCACAGCATTTTCCCCATTTTTTATGAATTTTCCCTGGCGGCATGTGGTTAACCCAATGCATGGCTTATACGTACATGCCATGCCCACTGTGAGTTTAGTTGTTTAATTGTTTTTACACATAGATGGTTACACTTGTACTAAGTCACCAATGAGCCAATTACGTGTACTGGCTATTTTACGTTATCTTATTTTGCTGTAACAAAAGTTTATAAATTGTAAACTGCTTATAATAAAAATAATGCCATTGATATGCATAGCATTAGTAAAAAAAAAAGCTTTTCCTGCCAGTTCAGGGAAAGGTGAAATCAGTTAAGGTTACAGGGTCTACTAGTAGACTCCTTTGTGGCTAAACACTAGCAGAGCTAGTTAATAAAGGTTAATAATAAAGAGTTAATAAAGTAAACTCACAGTGGGCTTTGGCTTTGGGTTAAAAGAAAATAATATATTCTAAAAGCGACTTTAGAATATAATTGTTTAAAATAAATTGTAAAACATACACTATATAACTATGTTTCAAATACTTGTGCTTTTGTTTTAAAATTCACCTTTTGTCAAAAATGGAAAATGTTTTGTAAAAAATCTACTTCAATTCTCACATTTTTCTGTATCTTCTAAAGCTAATCATAAATTGTCAGAAATACATGTATAATATAATCAAAAACGGTTAAATACATCTCTTGTATTGTGAAGATATTCATTTTCATTCAAATCTTTTCTGTATTTGTCAACATGAATACGGTTCATGCTAAAAATATATAAATAAGAATACTATCTATCTTCACATTGATGATGATGCTGGTAATAATAATAATAATAATAATAATAATAATAATAATAATAAAATAAATGATAACACAGAGTATGAATAAAAATGTTAATGTTGTGTTAATGGATGATGACTGACTGACAACTAACAGTTGCACAAAAGAAAATAATAATAATAATCATGAGAATGATGATGATAATTATATTCATCATCATAACAATAACAATAGTAATGAGCATGTTTATACTAACAAAACATACTTCTTCCCAAAAAACTTGATTTTCATTTAAAAAGAATTATATTTTAATATGTATAAGTGTATATATTTCATAAGATTTTTCAAAAATTAATAAATAGATAAGAAAAAAATTATGATATAAGAATCCAATCAAAATTAAATTTAGGGGAAAGTAAAGTTTCAACATTAGAAAACTCCTACCTTAAAAAAGAACCTTGGAGAAATCCAGAAACACCTTAAAACATCTTACCACCTAAAATGTGTTCTATCAATCAGACATCTCACTTGATTTGTCATTTGTGACAAATGTAAGAAACCAGTGTCTGACCTTTAGGATTTCAGTAAGCTGAAAGCACCTTAACATCTTTAGCATAATTTGTTTCTTCTTATACTGCATTCCTGTCTAAAAAATGATAATAATAATAATAATAATGATAATGATGACAATAATAATAATAATTATAATAATAATAATAATAATAATAATAATAATAATAATAACAGTAATAGTAATAGTAATAATAATAAATAATAATAAAAACAATGATAATTAACACAAGGTGAAGACCCTGATATTTCAGAGAATATAGGCTTACTTCAATTTTCTTTTAAGTAAAATCAAATAAATCTTATTTTCATGGTTCACATTTCTTTGGTTCTTGATAATTTATGTGAATAAAGATATATCAGAGCAATTAACTTCTTTCTCTGTCCTTCTCTTTTATCTTCTAAATATGCTCCTGGATGACAATATGTAACATTCTTTCCTAATTCAACATGAATATCGTCAACAGTTTATCCTAATTAAGAAAAAGCCTTCCACAAACAAGTTTACTTTTTCACATTCACAGTATGTTGTAAGATGTGTAACATGTTAATTTCTTCATGAATTTTACACATCATTTTTTTATAATGTACTGTGTCACATGCATAATGCCTGTTATTCTTTTTCTTCTTGAGTCATATCTTCCTACAAATCTGCTGACTGTAATTACTTGCATTTAAACATTTACCAGAATAATAATCTCAGTTCTCTTAATACATAATCAATTCCCTTCACAGTTGGTATTTCACATATTTGTGAACACTATTGTTCTGGAACATGATATAAACATATCTAAATATAAATACACCTTACAATGCACCACTCACCCTGTTTATAAAACGAAGCTA